TGCAGTGGACCCCCAGCCACATTGCAGGGTCCTGGTCATCACCATTGCGCAGCCTTGGAGCAGTGATCCCACCGGAGTACCCCTGGGGATGTGCCACAGCCACGGGCACAGGGATCCTGCTGCCTTGCGCCTGCAGCCCCCTGCCCACCTCCCGAGGCAGGACAGACAGACACGGGGCACCCCGGGACCCCTGCGCCTGGCTCCCAGTTGCCCAGACACTACCAGGTACCCACAAGCCCCTCCCCAGCCCAGCCCCTGCTCCTTCACCCCCCAGACTGGGAAACAGACAGGAAGGGAAGGGACAGCCCTCGTGGAGCTCAGGGTGGGAGGCATGGGATGCAAGGCAGGGGGGCACAGGGTGTTCCAGAGCTGCTCACCTCACACAGCTCAGCAGTCCCCCAGACCCAAACAAGCTCATCTCCCCAGATCCCTCTGCAGGCCCTCTCCTGCCGAGGTGCACCCCAGTACAGCACTTGGGGGGCTGAAGCTGATCCTGCACCCCGAGACACAGAGATAATCAGGGACTATGGTGTGGCAGTGTGACAGTGGCATGGCCATGGGTTGGTGGTGTGGCTCTGCCACAGGGCCGTGTGGAACACGATGGACATCAGGGTACTCATTAAAGCTGGTGTGCTTCACTGCACCTCGACTTGTTACTGTGGGACTTGCTGGCTATGCCCTAGTACAGGCAGGCTTGGGGACACCCCTCACTTAGCCTGGCACCCACACAAGCAGAGTCAGGTGCTGCCCCAGGCTGAGGGTTCAGTGCCCCCTCCCAGTCCACTCCACAGCTCAGATGTGTCCTAGGGCTGGGGTGATAGAGGGACCCACCATCCGGGACATCCCCACCCCATCAACCCCCAGCTCTCACCCACCCAGGGTTCCCACCCCTTCCCTGTGTCCAAAGACAGGTCCATCCCTTCAGGGCCTAGGGTAGCCCATGGGGGACGGTCCTTCCTGCCTGTCACAGCCGCCCCAGTGCTCCCTGCCCCAACACCACAGTGCTCGCCTGGAGCAGGGGGCAGGCAGAAGGGTCCCTGCACCAGCCCAGTGGGACTGGGCAGGCAGGCAGCGCCCCGGGCGGGGCCCAGCAGGAGAGCTCGCATGCAGCCGGCAGACGATGGGGCTGGGACC